TGCCTCTAAACCATAAAAACTTGTGGTCTATTGCTTTTATATAATAATTCAGAAGACACGCGAAATTTCTCTGAGTTTACTTGCACAATAAACCATAACTGATTGACCAATCAGAGCGCGCGCATTCATTTAATTATTGTATAAAAAGGATTAAGTTTAAGGCTTCGGCTTCGGGGAAATTTTTCATCGCATAATCCCGAGCGGGCAAGATAGTGCCATCTTGTCTGCTCGGGTAGCCATTCACAGCGTAGGATTTTGTTCATCTTGCACGCTCATGCAGCAAGCCATGTAATAAACACAGTTAATGGCTGTCGCCGTAAAGAAGAATGTACCGCTCGTTGTGAAACGTGGAATAAAGATAAATCTTGAATTGACTTCTTAGGGCTGGGAGGTTACGGTTCGGACAGTGAGAGCTCATCTAATGAAGAATCAGGAGGCGAAAAGCCTTACGCGAGTGAAGGTAACAGAAAGCATCAAAGCGCCGACATGGCAGACGATGGAAAAATGCGAAGAAGCCGCTCACGCAGCCATCCTGGAAGAGGAACACGCCGCCAACACGAGTCCGCTTCCGAGAGTGAGGAAGAGGAAGATAGAAAGAAAAAATATCGCGAATCCGTCGAGAAGCGCTCCAAGAAGGAAAGACGGCATCGGAGCCCTTCGTCTTCAAACAGCGATAGTGAGAGCTCTGTTTCGGTTCACGAAAAGAGTCGTCGGAAAAAGCATCGGCGGCGAGACAGGAGCGAAAGCTCGTCTCCGAAGCACCGAAGAAGACATCGGCGACATCACGGAAAGAAAAGTCGGTCACGAAGTAGATCGCCGAGGAAACACAGCAGCAGTAAAAAGAAAAGGAAGAGCGAGAGCGATTCGGCAGACAGCGACACAGAGAGCAGAACTTCTAGTAGGCATAAATCGTCGAAACATAGTCGGGAATCTTCGCAGAAGGACAAGAAGCATCGACGGAAACGAAGATCTTCCAGCTCGTCGTCGCATAYTGAAAGGGACGGTAAGAAGGACAGAAAACGTAAGACGTGATCATGCCGGCGACCATGCAGGTGGATTTGATTTTGTTCTTGTTGATGTGTGCGTGTGATTGATAGTGGTTATTCTGCATCTTGTACTGTCTTGACTTGGGTATATGTGTAAAATGTAAAACGTTTGACGTAATTGGTCAAAATAGTGTTACACAGTATCTGTATTTTTAATAACGGACGATGTTCTCGCACGGGCAGTGAGTTGTGAATGGTGTTCGAGTCCTGAAACAAAACTTCTCTTTTCTTTCTTTTCTCGCTCTCGAAAAAAATGTAGAGTGATTGGGCTCACGGGAATGATTATGACAGACGGGGACACAAAGATTTCCGCCTTACGCGAGGATGACATCTAGTGTTAAACGCCCGGAGATTCCACCACGAAAACGTCCAAACTGTTGGCTTGGCTCTGTATTGTCTTTGATTGCATGTAACTAGCGCGAGAAAATTTAGTACCGCCCAGCAACAGATCAGAAAGCACACGCTTGTCTGCTTGGTTTTGAAAATTAAAATTGTCAATGGACAAAGTTGTTATGGTTGAATCTCCAACTCCTCTCTCAAGCAGGGAAAGAGTTTTAACCGTTTGATCAGCGCTGTTTGTTAACTTAGGGGATATTTTTCTTTGTGGGTGGTTCGTCCTTACAAAAATCAACCATTGCGCTCCTCATTTCGTTCATTATT